GGGGATAAAATTTGTAGGCAAGCATTGCTCCTGAACGGCAAGTGTTGGTGTCCGGCGAAACAAGCGAACCGTATATTCCTGTACAGCGTAAACAGGTTACGCAAGGTTTTATATTTGTGTTTATTTAATATATTGAACTAAGTCAGATCTATAAGAGCATATTTAAACTAAATATTAATTATAGCAATAGCCATATTGTTCAAGACGAGAGAAAGGAAATTTCGTGTGAATCACCCCTTGCATGGAGACGCCTAGATGCAGCTTGGATGCAGAGCTTTGCCTGTAGTTGAAAATCTCCAGAAATATCGGTATATCTTAGAAAACATAGACGGGATCTTCATAGATTTTAGCTGATTCGTGTCAAACTTCGCTCTACACATAAATAATATCGATTGAGAAGTCTTTTGCCTATTCATTTGTTTCGAAGACTTGTATATTTCATTAAAGAATATCTCGCCACTCCTTGACGAGTAGCTGTCAAATACTGCCATTTTTTGACGTCACGTGACCGGACCGGACCAGGGCTTCCTCGTGTCTCGCCTCGTCCTCACACTGAAGCCCTGGGAACGAGGTTGCAGGCCACGTAGTCTGGGAACAGGGTTTGAAGAAAAGAAAATATACCATACTGACACAAGTCACACAAAATACCACTATTTTATTAGATGAAAACTATTAAATAAATGCATTATACACAATGTATTGGTTTAATATTGTCACAAACCTTTCTAGGTGTGTCGAGATTCGTCAGACGAATTGTCTTGCCTTATTCTTATGTTTAATATATCAAAGTGTATTTTTGCGCACTACAAGTAATATAAAGTCTAGTATAAAGGCGTATCCACGTTTGAAAAGCCATGCAACCATCGGATCGCTTTCACAATTTCGTCAACACTCGTACGAGATAGGAAAGAGAGTAAGACCTAAAACAAAGCAAACTTTGGTATTATTTTAAATTCACCCAGCTTTAACCAACGTCACATACGCGAAAACGAGGCTCTATAGCTCAAGTGAAGTACTTTCCAAAAGGGTGTATTACTGTTTCTACAACACGACACTTGCCTGTTTTTCAACTGGAATATCTTGTTGATCTTGGTATTCCCATATTCCAAATGTCAGAGACAATGTCATGCGTTCAAACCAACTATAATGAAAATAATTTAAATGCTTATTCAAGTAATCAAGGTTCACGCTAAACAAACAAAAAATACATAACCTTCTATACACGAGGCCTGAATTACAGTAACTTAACTAACTGCTGAAATTTGTAATTGACATCCACAAACAGCAATTTAGTTAAGGAAAAAAAAATCAATACCGTTTAACATTGTCCAATGGACTCGCTTGGTTATCCACCATGCACAAGTCTGGTGCCCATAGCAACATCTGACAAACAGTAGCAGCCAATGAAATGTCAGGTCTGTCGTTTGGATGTCTTTGTAGGAGCTCTTTGATAAGAACACGAACAGCCATTGGCGCTCTAAACACAAAAAAACATAGTTCAGTTCATAGCATAGTTCAGCTCAAAGTAAAGGGTCAGAGAATATTAGGTACAAATGACTGTCAGCAACGTTCTCTAAGGATAAATACAACATCGTACAGTACAACATACAATGCATACCCCTTCAACTCGGGCAGATGGTCAATGTTGTACGATTCTTTATCCACAGTCTGGTTTTGAAATGGATGTTTCTGACCGAAAATCTCATATCCAATTGCACCCGCAGCCCACTCTGGAACAGATAGTATGAAATGAAAATCATTAAGAATCAAGCTTGGTTTCATTAAGCACTATCGTAGCAGATGAACCTGCAGTTATCAGAATGAGAAAATACTGTTAGTTCTTTTCATTGTATGTCTTGTGTTTGGAGGCCAATAAACAGAATTCAGAGATGTAGTTTAATTATAATCTTGCTTCTATTATTGACCACTATAGCTGTTCCGTGTGAACACGCGAATGAACAATTTATACGTACCATCAGATTTACTGTAGTCAATTATCTGCCCAGGACCAGGTTCAGCACTAACCACCTGAAGAATTTAAAAGATTTGTATCTCAAGTTTTAGCATTAAATACGAACTAAATATTACGAACTACAAAATACTGAAATTTATTTCCTACCTCCGGTGCCATCAGTTCAGCATTGCCACCTTTGCTTGTCTCGTCAGTTTCAAACGGCAGTTTTAAACCATGACGTTTCTCAGCTAAACAGCACCCCAAGTCAGTTATAACCAAATGAGGCATTCCATTTGCGCTTTCATTGACCAAAATATTATCACTTTTCAGATCGCGATGCGCCACTCCATGGATGTTAAGATGACGCAAGCCTTCAAGTAGTTGCGCCAATAATGCTAATGAGGTCTTGGTGTGGAGATTGTCTTTATGTTTTGCAATGTAATCGTGAAGTGTTCCTGAAAATCTGGGGATGTGAAACAGGTGGATTTAAATACGAGAAGGTATTGTAGACATTGAATTTATGTTCAGTAATTATAGTTACATTTTATCCCATTGCCAAGGTTTCAAGAATAAATTCAACACTGATATATTCAAACGCACGGCTTTACACATACTTTTGCATGACACAAAACATAGTTCTGTTTCTTCCATAACCATCACGATACAAACGCGATGGCAAAGCTAGTGGATAGCTGTCCACCGCATCAGAAAGTACTGGAGTGTTGTCAGCAAAATGCCCCAGAACTTTTATCACATTAAAATGATTTGGAAGTCTTGTATATCTTGATGTATCTGCATTACAATAAGTACATTATCATAGTTTTAATCCAAGAAATATCAGAAAGATATGAATTAAAATAATATTTCAGATTTATGAAATAGTCTTATTTAGATTGATAAAATCTGCTGCTCATTCATATTAAACTACTTACTTACTTGCACAACAAGGAATTCTATAAAACTCTGAAGTGCAGCAGCGCTTAAACACTCGCGCATTTTTTACCTGTAAAATTGTTACGGCTTACCATTCATTGTTGGTATCTCCTCGTTTCTTGGTAACACTGCAAGTTCTTTAGAGAAGGCCTAGAAATCAAATATTAACATTCCAATAAACTTATATTTAGTCATCATATCCATTAAAAACATACAGTATAATGGCGTTTTTCTGTATATTAATTAGCTTAAAACAAATTGCTTACTTTCTCCAGTGATACACTTTGAGAGCTTGCACTGTAGTTGAACAACATTTTCAGAGCACACTAAGAAAAAAAAACATAAATAATAAATTATCAGTAATACACATCAAGGTTTATGGACCTGAAATCATGTTATGATGACATCATCTTGATGGTGCAGTATGATGACATCATCATGACATCATATTATGATGACATCATTATTATGACATCATCATGACAGCCATCATAATGACATATATGACATCACATTATGACATCATTATAACATTTTTGAAGTTTAGTAAATGAATATTGCTTGAAGCATTCATAATAACAGCTACCGGATTATCATGAATTTCTGCAGCATAAACAGCTGAATTGCAAGACGCTTTGCCAAGACGTTCCTTGATTCTATAATCCTTCAATTTCTTTCCAGTGTGATTCACTGATACCTCGGGAATGTTCTGAAAAAGATAATTTATCAAAATAATCCACGAAGAATCTCTTGTGTTGTAAGTTTTTATGTTATCAGTGCAGATGTAGCATTTGTGGAACAGTTACCTTTGCTGTGCTTTGTAACATATCTTGCAACAAACGGTGCAGTTTCTCTTCTTCGGGTGAGCATGTTGCTGACCCTGAAGTTTCATTCTCTTTTACTTCTATATTACAAGAAAATAACCTTTACTTATTGACCAAGCATAGTTTAATTAATTATTTATTCAGCACTAGAATTTATAAACTCATTGATTCAAATAGAAAAGAACCGCGGCACTCATGCATATAGAAGTTTCATAAGCATCTTACCACTTTTTAATTTGAAAGTATATTATAGCTTAACTTAAAAAGTGATCTGCGAACAGGTAGTACTATACTTACCCATATATGTGAATCCAACAAGTGCCAAAAACAGGAGCATTGGATTCATTCTTCCATTGGCCACGGTTCGTTCGATTGGGTAATCTGTATTATATAGTGTATTTTTAGAACATATTAATTAGATACGATTATATAATTTCAATTTAATAGAGAATGTGATTTCTACAAATAATAACAGCTTATTTCACTTACTTTTAAAAGAAACAACTCTTGAGGAATTTTGAAGCCAGTGGGCAAAGAAAAACTTTCTGACAATTGGCGGCTGTACCTGATCACCAATAACTTTTGGTTTAATCATAGCATTTTGAACAGTTGAAGTCGAACGAGGTGTCGCATGATGAATGCCTAAAAATTAACTGATGTATAATGATCTAACTTATGCATGTTTCTAGTTCTGAAATTGGGTCCCAAGTAAAGCAAGAAGTATATGACATTATGTTTTTGATATCATGTACGTCATTATATTGCCCGGCATGTATTATATTGCCCGGCATATATTATATCGTTGCCAAAATATACATTTACAACACACACTAGTACGTTCGCTGGAAAAAGCAAAAATAACGCAAATTTCTAAAAAAAGTTATGATACTGATAGGCTTGGCAAATTCAGACGAACTTTAATCTTTATACGCATTTTAAGCGTTTAACTCCTTCAGTGAATACATATATTTTATTTGCTGGGCTGCCTATAATTTTACCAAGAGCAGAACCAGTTCATTTCAAAGATTTCCTTCGCGAAAGCCGAACGTTATCGGAATCGATCTCAATCGCCAAAGTCAAAGTAGTGTATACCAAACGTGAAAAGAAGCCACTTAAATAATAACCATTATAAACATTATGGCTAGTGATCAGAATGTTCCATTGTCTTTTTATTGTTTTGAAAATCTCATTGTTCTCCATGCCATCCAGTCATGATCCATTGATCTGAATGTCCCATTGTCTTTTCATTGTTTTGAAAATCCCACTGTTCTCCGTGCCATCCAGTCATGATCCTGTGATCAGAATGTTCCATTGTCTTCTCATTGCTTTTGAAATCCCACTGTTCTCCGTACCATCCAGTCATGATTCAGTGATCAGAATGTTCAATTGTCTTTTCATTTTTTTGAAAATCTCACTGTTCTCCATGTCATCCAGTCATGATCCAGTGATCAGATCGTTCCATTGTCTTTTCATTGTTTAGCCATTTATAAACATTTCGGGTATTTTACACTGTTGAAAATGTTTTAGAAATGTCTAAGAAAAAATCTTCATCATATATTTTGGAGAGATTGATAATTATAACCTTTTAATGGCTATCTTTTTGAAAAGGAGTGACGGGCAATCGGGAAACGGAGGATGGAGAAACGGCCGAAATATAGGAGAATGGGGGGATATTGGAAATGGGAGATATTTCGGGGAATGGGAGAATATCTTGGGGAATATCTCGGGGGAATATCTTGGAGAATATCATATTGCCCCTTTAAAAGGGGAAATATGACATTCCCCGAGATATTCCCACATTCCCCAATATTCCCCGTTCCCAGATTCTCCGTTTCCCCTTTAACCGATAACCCCTTTGTAATTATAATATTTCGATTGTGTTCAGGAAAAAATATAAAAATGTTACCATACTTTACTCGAACTTTTATGAATCTTGCCACTACTCGCTAGGCTGGCGTGCGTGGGATTCCCCGGACTATGCGGGAATTTCCCGTCAAGAAAATCGTACAAATTGCGTATTTAGTTTGATAAAATAAAAAACAAACTAGTTTTATTTTGTTTTTCTCGTGTCCCTGGCTTTGTTTACCAACAACACTCCATAGTTTTTACCCGTGAAGTAAACTGTGATTCTGTGAATAAAAAAACATAACCGTTTTTAATTAACAATGATTTAAGACAAAGCAAATTAACCACTTCGGCACTAAGCCACTATATAGACTATAGTCACATATTCATCAAAGCAGTAAATTAAAAGATCATGGCGTTTGAAGTTGACGTTTAGTGTATAAATTTTAGGCTTGATTTACTGCTTTGGTGATACATGACAAGTGGTCAATTTGTTTCTTGAATCATTGTTAAATACCACAAGTTTAGTAAGTGTTTAATATATTTCAAAACTCTTGTAAAAGCGGTTATAAAGAGCTGTAAAATCAAAAACGTCGTTAGCGGTCTGACGTTTGCTGTAAACGTCAATCTAAAGGTCTTTAGCGGCAGTTTTTCGTCACGGCGTCCACGTCTTAGATTTGGTGTATCTTAAGCTCCCTATTCTCTGCGCAATATAAAACTTTACAATTTTGACACATCTCAGTCAACTGACGGTGTGATAGTTCGATTTTGTTTTAATGTAAATATTTTTAATTCTCTGCTTGAAACAGATAATGTTGAAATGTTCGGGAACTATTAGAAAATTAAATTCATGCATACATACCCCCTTTGAATGAACGCTTCGCAAAGCGCAATCCTGTTTCCAAAGCCTGACGAAGCGGCATCTCTTTCAATTTCAAGATAGATATCAAATCTGCACCGACGAAATGTTACCAGCCACGGAACTGGTGACGAAATGAACGAAACGCTGTATAAGCATTTTACATGTATCACCTGCATATCACATGATATGAAATAAAATTGAAATCATGCCCCCGCCTAACCCACAAAATTTGTTCTTTCTAGTTTCAACCATTTTTTGCCGAAGCTACAATAACTATTAATTGATCTAGGCCTGGTCTACTTTAAAACGGCGATTCCTTTTTGTATAAACTATTAAACATATTATATTTGCTATGACTCCCATGTTTGGTTAAAAACTCGCGGCTAGCCCTGGGTACGAGGTTGCTACGGCTTGGCTCATCGGCATTCTCGTACCCAGAGCCCTTCTTACGCGCGTTCGACCGAGCGCGACGAGGAGCTCTGGCCAAATCCATAACCGGATACCATTATTATTATTATTATAAATTTCCAAACTAGCAGTAACAACTGAATTACTTTGGAATTACAGGGTATAAGAACATAGGTATTCAATCTATTCTATATTTACAGGTAAAAATAGGTAAGTTAGATAAAAATAACGAT